ACGACAGCACTACACTCAAGCACTACATTCAAGCGCTACTCTTGCACTCACCTGCATCCTGCAGGGTGGGGTGGGGGTCTACAGCGCTATTGTACAATATGTCAACAAGGTCCAACCGCAGGCAGGCCAGGCCTCGCTAGGCCGCGCCGGCGTCTTGACGGTCGATCGAAATCAGAAATTCCGATCGTCGCCTTTACTTTCCCAGGTCCTGCCAAGTAAAATGTAGATCGAGCTAAGCCCGACGCAACGCAAAATTGTTACGGCCTTGCAGCCGATGGCGCCAGACAACTGGACTTGAAGCTGCAAACGCAAAGGCGCGATGTTTTTAACTGGGTCCCGGGCGGACTTGGAAAGGATTCAAAGGCGCGCCCGGGCTGTCTTTCCATATTATTTCGCAGATCCAACCATCGCTGGACAGGGCAAGGATCCTTAGCAAATTAAAAGTAGCGAGCGCTCAGGCTAAGCCAGTTGACTCTCCAGACGGGCAAGGCCCCAGCCAGAAGGTCAACGAGCAGGGCGAACCCAGCTCAGCGGGGATGTTCCAGATAGGAACATAGCCGTTCGACATCGTTCCTTCGCAATGGCGCCATCGTGCGTAATGCAACGTGCAAACTGAAGTGAGTGCCCCAATCAAACCCAGAGCCTCACAGAAAGGGCGCTCGTCCCACCCAAGCAGACTTTGAGCACTTGCTATTGGCGATGTCTCAGATCAGCCTGCCAGTTTTTTACAAAACAACCTGCTCGATCGACGCTAGTTGCGCTAGTTGAGAAGACCCATCCAGCGTCTAAGAAATCGACCCGCAAGCAGCTTGTCCTCAAAGGCCTACCATCAATAATATCTTGGGTACAGAGGCTGCACCAAGCACCACGCTGCGATCCCCATCGCAACGCCACCGCGAACAGATGCGAGGCACGCGGCCCGGCCGCAGCTCCAATGGCAACGCGGAATTCCGTTTCGCATGAGCTCGGCAGAGTTTTCAGGAGCCCCAAGAGCTTGAGGAACCTGCTCCAGCTGCCTCGGCCGTGGACCGTGTAGCATACGACACCGTCACGCTCTGAAACTCAAAGGCTCGCGCCTCTACAAAGCAAGGCCGCAGAGCAACCAAAGGCCACCCGCAAAGAGTTCATCCACGTGGGCCTCCAAAGACAAGGTGAACATGGGTGGAATCCTGATTGGTTGGATTCTCAGGCCAGGGACTCCGCAAGGCCCCAGAGCCACCAACAAAGAGCTTATTCGCGCGTTCCTGCGCAAGAGTTGTGGAACTTAAGAGGTGAAGCCTGGCCGGCTTCCACCAACCAAAGGCCACCAGCAAAGAGCTAGTCCGCGCGGGCCTCCAAAAGAATCGGGAATTTAAGTGTTAGATTCCTGGCTGTGCAGTCAGAGGCTGGCGCCTTCACAAAGCAAAGCCCCAGAGCCACCAACAAAGAGCTCATCCTCGTGGTCCTGCAAGAGAGTTGTGGAACTTAAGTGGTGAAGCCTGACACGCCTCCACCAAGAGCAGCGCCTCACTTGCGCACACAAGATTTGACTCACCTGCGCACACAGCCTTTTTTACATTTAACCCAACTGCGCACACAGGGTTCGCTCAGCTGCGCACACATCGATTACATTCTTCTTTAAACAGTGCATGTTACCTCAAACTCATCTGCGCACACAGACTTTGCTCACCTGCGCACACACAAATTGAGTGATGATGATCTCTTTTTGCTCATTGCTTCCACAGTACCATGTCACACAGATGCTCTGCGTGCGTTTGATTGATGATGTTGGGTTGGGATGGAAGGGTGGGGGGGGTGGGGGGGTGTCAATAACGTCCCTCTGGACATTCATCTACATGATGATTCTTTTTGCTCATTGCTTCCACAGTACCATGTCACACAGACGCTCTGCGTCTGATTGATGATGTTGGGTTGGGATGGGGGGTGGGGGGTGACACGAAGTGCAAGGCAGTGGATTTCCCTTGGAAAGAACACGGTCTCGAGAGAGGTTCAATCGGACGATGCTAGGACGCCTGTCGAATGCAGTCGGTTGCAAAAGCAAGCGGCTTTTCTCAGTCTTGAGCCACATGTATCAGTCATATATGTACATAAAGTGTGAGACCATACAGAGGTTCGTTCTAGGAAAAACCAGCAAAGAGCTCGTGCCTGTAGTCCTCCAAAAGACAGTGAATTTAAGGGTGTAATTCAGCGAGAGGCCTCCACTAAGCCAAGCCTCCAAATCTACCAGCAAAAAGCTCGTCCCTGTAGTCCTCCAAACAACTCCTGAATTTAAGGCCGAACCCATGCACTTTTCCTTTCCCTTCCCTTCATCATTTCCCTTCCTTCTTCCTTTCCTGTCTTTTCCTTTCTTTTCCTCTCATTCCTCTTTCTCTTCCTTCCCTTCTCTTGCCTTGCCTTCCCTTGCCTTCCCTTTCTTTCCTTCCTTCCTTCCTTCCTTCCTCAACGCCCGAAATTCATGGCGGCCAGAGATTGCGGCAAGTGAGGTGCAACAAATGGTCGCGGAGCAGTCCTGCCGTGAGGTGCCTCCGTGGAGAAGCATGTTCCAGGTGGTGAGCCAATCGCATTGGGGTAGAGGACCCGTAGCAAGTTGTCCACGGTAAACCGCAACCAGCGGTGGACGAAGCGAACAATGCGGAATGGGGGCCCCCGCAGATCGAATGCCACTAAGCAATTAGCATGGTGGACTGAAGCTCCAAGTAGTTCCGCGCGTGGGCGATTCGGTTATCAGACGGTTATCATATGAACCCAAGCGCGAAGGCGAGGGGAGGATCGCAAGCACAGCGCCACAGCGCCCCACAGCTTCACAAACTCGATTGAGTTGTGCCGCCATTTGGCAGCGGCCTTCCGGTCCGCCTCGGTGCGAAGGAGCTTCTGAGGGATCCATTTGCACCCTACGTGACCGTAGTCTCCATAGACGTCCTTGCCGACCCACGGGATCAAAATCACAATTTCCTCCCTCATTGTGGAAGTTGAGTTGCCCTCCTTCACCGCTTCCACAATCTTGTCGATGCCTCTTCTCCATTCCGTACGTGCCCGCATGCGCGTGCACCAGGGCATGGAATCTGCTTCAAACAGAACCTCTACCCAAATCAGAGCCCATGGCAATCTATCACATCCCATCCCTATCCATCCCTCAATCATGACTAGCTCCATCCACGTGGAACTGTCGCCGAAAACGAAGGTGGAGGTTGCCAAAGCGTGTAACTGTCGTAGACACGGCCACTTGGGGAGTATAACTGTAGTGCTGGAAGAAGCGCGCTTGCGTGAGTCCGTGCCACTGGGGGAAGGAAACCATGCTGGTGTAAATTCTGCGTGTCGCTGGGGAGCGGGATGAGTGGCGGCGCGCACGATGCTTGGTGTCACATTGTATCTACTCTGTGGCACACCCACCGTGTGGCCAAATAACATCCACTAATTTCCTCTGAGCGCCAGATACCCCTATGCCATTCACTGTATATCATAGGAAGTCTTTCAATGGGGTTCTTCACATACCTTCCTATGATGGCGCGCTCGTGTTTCCACGCTCCCGGGCCATTCGTCGTCTAGCTGTTCCCTTTTTTACGTCTTTTCTTTTTCCTCTTGGTTCTTTCTTTCGTCCTTTTTTCTTTCTTTCTTTCTTTCTTTCCTGGCCCTTTCCTCTTCCTTTTCTTTCTTCCCCCTTGCTTGTGTCTTTTCCTTGTCCTTCCTTCTCCTTCCTGTCCCTTCTTGGTCTGATTTAGTTTCCTTTTGTCGGTGGTTGGTACATGGCCCAGCTACGATTTTCCATGTCTCTTTTTGGTCAACAACTTTTTTCATGTGTGGCACTCACATGCTGGCCGGGACAAAGTCTCTGTTGTAGTTGGCCACTTGTTTTTTATCTCAAGGTGTTTTTGTGCCGAACTCACTCCAGACCTTTTCAGAGACAGGGATTTACCCATAGGGAAAGTCAAAATCACCCAAAGCAAAACCAGGCCTACCACTGTTGATTCATCTTTTACCTAACTACCCTTCACCAATGGTGGACCCAAATCGTGTCAACGGGTCAACCTGGTGACATTCCAAGCAAAAGGCTTTCAAGCGGTGAAGGCTAGGCCGCTAGGCGAAGGTAGGCTGTTCCCCCCCGCTGCTGCCAGGCTGCTCCGGCGGCTCCGATGGCCTGCCACGCACACCGCTGGACGAACGGCGCGGAGAGGCAGGGCGGAAGCGAAGAGGTGACTGCATCATGGTGGAGAGGCAGTGAAAAACAAGCACACAAGGAAACCATGATTTCTTGTGGAAATGGCTGCTGAGTGACGCATTGAGCTGGACTCAGAGTAGAGAAGTTGCTCGTTCCGGGAAAGCCCACGTTCTGTTCATGGGTTCTTGCCCCCTGGTTATGGGCATACTTCATTGACATCCACTTTTTGCGACGGGAAACATCATGGTTTTTCCATGTCCCAAGACCTCAGGTCTTCACCAGATACGAATTGGACACAGCGACACGCGAATGAACAACCCCGCTGTGCAGTTCGTCAGAAGATACTGTCGTCCTCATTGTAGACATCTTACGACCCTGCTTTTCAGCATGGCCAAGGCTTCGTCCACACTACTCAGTTGTTTCAACATGATTATTCTTATTCATTGACCGGCCAGCAAGTTGTAGTGTGGCTAAATCGGGCGGCAGTGTGTCTTGTTGAATACCAGTCCAACAGTGGCTTCTTCCCATTAAAGGCAAATCAACACTGTCAAAATATCTCGTGTTGTTGTTGCCGTACTGTGTCGCCATGTGCTCAAGGCAAACAGTCTGCTTGCTTGCATTCGGAACCTGCACTTCACTGCTTCGCACAACTCTGACCACTCTCGAGATCGTGTTGCACACTACCCACCCCCTTCCTGCCCACCCCCTGTTAATCATGGTCATCAAATAAGACATGTGAAACCCACAAGCAAGTGCTTTCTGACAACAAAAGGAGTTTCACCGACGTCAGCAACCAGCGATGTTTCAAGAACGCTTCTCTCGAAGCATGGAGGAGGTTTCCAAGGTGAAACATCCGATGGTCACTCGTCGTTCTTTGCTGCAAAGGCTTTGGATTTTCGCCCGTGGAGCCCGTGCTTCCTTTGAGCTTATTGAGAGTCGACAGCTTCACAGCTTCACAGCTTCACCCAGCTGCACAGTTCGTAAGATCTGCGATGCGGTCGTGCTTCGACACTTGATGAGTGCTGACATGGTGCCTTGGACAAGTTCACCTCCAACAGGCTTCTGGAAAATCTCAGGCTTCCAACAGGCCGGGATGATGCTTTCCCCATGCTGGGTCTCCACTTCACAGCACCAGAAACATTGATGTCAGAACAGCATGGGCACTCTCTGACCAAAATACAGTTTGACTGCAGACGGGTGTATCAGGTGTGCTCCTTTGCAAACTGCGATGGCCGTTGCTTGCAAGTATAAGAGATCAAACAGCTGCGCTAGAGCACTTCGTCTAGCAAGAAATCGCATCAAGAAGCCAACTCGGTACGTGCTGCTTTCTTGGAACGAGCACTATAGAAGCTTCATCAGCTTCATCTTGTAGAAAGTGGATGAGAACTGGAATTTTATCCATTTCCAGTCCCGTCTTTGCTGATACACTGATCTGTGAATGCCGGTCCCATCGACTGCTTTGATCATCAAGTCTTGGTCCAACAAGTTTCACCTGGGCACTGCCGTTGTCCCTTCCTCGGGACCAATTGGCAGTTTGGACAACTGCCGTATGTCGGCTCGTTTTTCATCTTTGACCTTTGAAGTTCCGACGAAAAGCACGGAGGCGGAAAAAGACGTATAGAACATCCCCCAAACTCTTTAACCAACTCCCCGAACTCATCATTCGATGTTTCCGACATGTTACAGATCGAGGATTTCTGGCCGTTTTCGTCCCGCGTCGTCGAAGCCCAGTCCCGGTCCATCATGACCTCCTCCTCCGGATGTTCACGTGTGGCTGAGTGGACTCAGCGAACTGCACACACCTTTTCTGGCTAAAAAGGCACGCAGAGATCCCATGCAGAACTCGATTCATCCACCCTCCGAAGTCTCTGCCGACGGTGTGAAGGTGTCAAGCCTGTCGCCACATGTCTGTCCAGAAATCTCAGCTCACCATTGGCAGAAGCCGTAGTACTTGTAAAGCGTTTGCAAAGAGCACTATACCCAAATTTCCGAAAGAACACTTCCTGTGGCACGTGCCTCATCAAAGGGCTCCAAACAGGCAACGGATGTTTTGTGGGATTCAGGGTGAAATGGTGACGCACTAACTGCTAACGGATAAGCTGCTATCGACTCGCATCTCCTTGTGGACTGCTGACAACATCTTGTCTCAAATGTCCAGTGAACAAAAATACACACCTGTGTTGCACATGTCAACTGCCTCCTGATCCCCTCAATAGAAATCATCTCTTCCTCAAAGCAACCTCTCTATCTGAGGGCCTCCAAAAGAAACACGAAGGAGCCCATGAACCCGAATGCTCTACGCAGCTCTACCTCCAGACCCTCAGAGATAAGCGAGAACCCTTTGCTACGCATTCGGGAAACAAAAAAAACAACCAAGAGTCACAATAGGGTGCCGAACTTGGAGGATATAGGAGTTCCCCTGTCGCATCCACTCACTGGATGGGACTAAAAAGCCACTCCTTTGTGACTCCTGGTTGCATCATTTCCCGCCCCGGTGGCGCTTCTTCTCGTGGCCTGGGCTCTTGCAAGGTGGGCGGCAGCGTAGGGACATAGGACAGGACGGGGCCCCCGTCAGCCACCTGTTTTCGCGTTCATGTCGGGAGAACCACAGGGGTGTGGGGAAGGATGGGGTCTTTTGCTTTCGGCCTATCTCGATTCCCTACATCAATCTCCACAAACATGCGGGATGGTGAAGCGACATCCAGAAAGATAAGTCCCACAAACATGTCCCGAATCCACATAGGGTCTCGCAATGGCATTGGGTGGCAGTATCCGACCTGAAATGACGCTCCCACTCAGGTTCGGCCTCACTGCCTAAGCAGCGATGAATGGGATTGCGCTGAGAACCAACTTTTGCAGAATGCTGTTCTCAGTGCCATTTTTTTCACCAGTTCGTCTCGTTTCCTCCCATTTATTTACAAGGACCTTCCCTCGATGCCCTTTGTTACTAGTAGCTTCTTGTTCCTAGGAGAAAGGCCAGGAGCCCCTAGTTGCATCCTTGTTCCTAGTAGCGATTGTTCCAGCGAGCCTGCGGCTGGGGCGGCGTCTCCGCCGCGGCGGTGGAGCTGAGCCGCGTCTGCGCCGGCGGCATGGGCGCCGGCTGCCGGGGCTGTGCACTGCTCCTAGGTCTTGTCAGGCAAAACAAACGTCCGAGTTGTTGGCAGCCTGAGCTGAGAGAAATTGTGGAAAATGTCCCCCTGTGCAAAAACCAGCACAACTATTAACTATCAACCTAGGATCTGATTCATCTGATCCTGTCCACCCACCTGGTCAAGAAAAGAACAAACCCATGTAATGCACACTCTTGATTAATAAACCCACCCCATTTGACTTGGACATCCTCTTCCTATGGGGTGGTTTATTCATCAAGAGTCTACATGTACCCCCAACAAGCCGCACACCATTCACATGTTTTCTGGGTACCTCAGATCCCTCGCCCTTTTTGGCCGCTCTCGTTGCGTTTTGCTTGCTAACAAGCTCGTCGGGAGCGACTCATTCCATGCATTCGACCGAACAAAAAGGGCCAGGGAACGCCGTGACCAAATGGTGTGACCAGTTCGTTGGAGTCGACAGTGGATTCGGCCAGTTCGTAAACGAGTCGACGAAGCAACATAAGCAGCCAAAACAACTTGAGGCAACGGACTGAAACGAAAACATTAGACATACTAGTAGCTAGAAGCTACGGCTGGGGCTCCTGGCCTTACTACTAGGAGCAAGGACGCTACGTTCGGGGCTCCTGGCCGCACCAGTAGTAGCATTCTTACGGGAAGCTAGTAGTAACAAGTGCATCGCTACTAGTAACAAGTGCCTTACTAGTAGTAACAAGAAGCTAGTAGCTACTTCCTCACCAACGCCGCGACTCGCGAACGAGCATTTGCTGGGCCTCCCCACGTCACGCCCAGTGAGCCTCGTGGCTTTGCCCCTGACGCGCATGGCGAGCGGGACGACAAGAAGAACACAGAGAGACATCAGTTGTTGCCTGGAAAATGAGTCACCTCTGCCAGGTCTTGGGGCAAGTACGGCATAGCTTTCACGTTTGCATAGGAAAAATGCACCCTTGCATTGGGCTTTTGCGGTGCTTTTGCTTACACTTCATCGTGCCCTTGTCCACCCGTGGGACAGTGTACCTGGTTACCAAGAGGACAGGGCGACGCCCTAAAAGCACCTAGCCCACATCACGGCTCGCGGGCCCGTTTTTGGAGGCTTGGAGGGTTGAGCATCCAAAGTCCCAAGACGACTGTTTGGTTCAGTGCTTTTGAAAGGCTGCCTTTAACAACATTGGAGGGCCTATGAAACATGAGCCTTAGGGCCTACATGGGGGAAAGAACACACTGGCACTTTACCATGGGGTGTTCCCTGCATCCTCAGGCTGTTCTGTTCTCTCATCCCCGCCTCCAACAGGCGGACCGGCTTGTGCGTGTGCTGGCCTTGGAATCCCAGGAACCTCCGAACCGCGCGGTGTTTGACAGGAACCTTCCGATAAGGACGAAAGGCTTTGGGGGATGGGTCTCGGGGTTCTGATCTCAGGTATTAGATCTCCCCTCCAGGTAGATCTCAACCCCTCCGACGTGGTCGTCGGTCCAGCACCTGGTTCTGAACCCCGGTTGACATGACCCACAGCCATATCCACCTCCAGCCGATCCGCTGAGATCACCGAAGGATGTTGACTCTGGCGCCTTTGGTAGACCGGACCGGGTCGAAAAGAGTGAAAGCTAACCGTCCAGCCAGGCCGCTTGCTGATTTGGTGAACATGTCGCAGTGAACATGCCATCTGTGGGGCTGCCGCAACATGACCAAGCAACTCATAAGGAGCTCTAGGCTTTTGGGCGCGTCAGTCTTCACCACCTTCTTTAGGCGGTCCAACAGTCGAACAAATCAAGCGCCCCGCAGTAGACACGACGTTGTTAGAAATTCTCACCTGGAACCCAGCAGAGGGTCAAACGCTCTTCCTCCACCAGCTCCATCTCTCAGCTTGAAACCTGCTAATTCCTATAGGATAGTCTATAGGGTTCTTCAACCTCCGCTTCATGTAGACGATTTATAAGAGCTGCGGGATGATCTGGGATGGTCTTTTCGCCCCATCTCCATCTCGTTTTCCTCGTCCACGCGACATCGAAGCCCTTCGCCGCAGCGGCTCTGTGCCCGTCTCCTGTCGTGAGTTCAGTTCTCTGAGTTCGATGAGGGGGAAAGAGCCTCAAAGAGAGAGTTTTTTGGTTTGATCCTTTTGGATTCCCCCTCTTTTTGACCATCTTGGCCTTGGAAAAAGGACAGGCATCGAGAACACGGAGCGTGTGTGAATTTGCAGATGTTTCTATGGAAGAAAACTCTATGAGTGATCCGTGGTTTTTGGAACTCTCAGGTTTTCTTGACCCTCTCTGACTGCAAAGCCAAGTCAAGATCGGTCAAGCTGTTCTTCGCGGTTTTTTCTTCGACATCCTTTGAGCTGTTGAGAGCAATTCAACAAACACCCTTCAGTTTTGGCCTGTGGATCAATCCTCCTGCTTGACCATTTTGGGAGAGTTCTAACCAAAGAAGGGACACCTTGTCACTGCACTGGTCTGCCTTGTCACTTTGGAACATCCCTGACACCGAACATGTCCCGGACCCAACAGGTCCTCACCAACCCGGTGACAGACCCCTCGGTCACGTGACCTACCCGTTTCACGTGGAATTGGAGGCGATGAGTACGACAGGAATGGGACCTGCCCCAATCGAATTTGTGAAGTGCAAACACATCATCTGGTTCCACGTCAACGCGTCTTTGCCAACTGCTTGGAAGGGCAAAAGACCCAAGGAACCAAGGCATACTCCGAAGTAGGATCATGCTTCGAGTCAGGTTGTAGCAAATCCACCCTTGCTTGGCATGAGCCAAAACACAAGTTGTCGAAGCCGGACTGAGTCCTGTGGTGGCTTCTTCTCGTTCGGCTCCTGGCAGGCACGAAGTGCAAAGCAAGTTTTTCTGCAAACACATTTCGCAGGCCAAAGTAGCAAATAAATTGAAACTACATTCCATGCATTTGCGCGTGGAAGGACAGCGCTGGAACGACAGCGCCGACCACGCTATTATGTTCGTCCCTTCTTTTGGATGAATGGGCGTGAATCAAACAAACTGAAGACATCCGATGTGATCTCCAAGATTGTACTTAACAGCAAACAACAAAAAACTTCTAATGGCCCGTTACAAGGATATGCATTCACCCATACGCTCCCATGAAGTGATAGATCACTGAGCTTCACCCCTTCCCACCCCCCGAAAAATCTACACACTTAGATCCTTGCTCGCAAGAGCTATAGCAGTTGGTGAACTCCAGTGTTACTGCAACTAGACCTTTACACGCAATTTGACCTTGGCTGAGGGAACAGAAAGGTGAATGAGCCCGCGTCAACAGTACTGTTTAAAAAGGCGCACTAGCACTTTACGAGAAGAGGAGGGTAACAGCTTGGTCAACAGGTCAGTCAACAAGAAGGGAAATTAAAAGTCGGTAATGCAGGTACGGGGCTCCAATGTCCCGGAGTTATATCACAAGCGAGAGATCGGTGTCTTCCTTGGCACCTGCCCTATCTCTGCTTCAGGTGCCACCTGCTTATCTGTACAGTCTTTAAATTGAAAAGGTGAACCGAATTGGAAAAGTGTCTTAGATACTGTGGTGGTGCTCCTTGGAGACAGGAGTTGACACACTTAGTCACAGGGTTTGCAGTTGGTCATAATCCACAGTAAAATGGATGAGGGAAACGAACGGTGAAGCGGTCAGCGCAACTGAATTGCTGAACAATCTGTTCACTTATCTGCAGAACAGGCTGTGGCGGAGCTGCAAGCGCGGCAAAAAAATTGGTTTGTGGGAAGTAGCGTGAAGAAACACCATGGAACCAAAAAGACAGCAGCAGGGACGACCAGTGGTGTCATTGTGTTTCAGGCAGGTGCGCTGGGATGATCAGTCCCAGTATCACCAGGAAAGCGAGAGCGTCTTCTACTACTGTGAGCAGTTTTTTTCGTATTGACGTCTTCCCCTGTGGGTAGCTTGCAAGAAAGGATCTCCACTTATTCGACGTAATCACCTCTCATCTTTCTCACTTCAGGGATGAGGCGCTGTGCGTTATATAGTCGGATCATCTCTTCTGAGAAATCCGCCAATTCCCCAGGATCAAAGACCTCCTTCTTGACAACAGACAGGTGATGCTGAAGCCATTGGAAAAAGGAGACCTGAAGACTTGATCAGACGAACTTGCTAGAGCCAAAATGGCTACCGGTAACAACGGATGATGATGATGATGATGATGATGATGATGATGATGATGATAATTTTTGAGTAAAGGCCTTTCTCAAAAATCGCGATATAATTGTTTACTGACTGTTACAGTTATATAATAGGACAAACCCAACTCATAGGCTAGTCGTCCCAGCTTTGTCCTCATAGCTTTGGGGGTCGTCCCAGTCGCAGTTGTCGAAGAGTCCCTCCAGCGTGACCTGGCGCCACACAGAGGCCGGACGGCGGTCTTCGTTCAGCGCTCGCGGACCAAAACGCCGGAGGGGGGCGTCAGATTGGCAGGGAAGATCTCACATTCAGCATCTCCTTCTAGGACTCTCAACCTTGGCAGATGTTCCCGATCAGCCAGCGAATCCGTTTTGGCATCTCCAGGCTTTGATTCCCAGCGACCGCTTCGTCAGGGATCGATCCGCCACGGAAGTTCGCCCATCTGCTTCACCGAGTTAGCTCCAATTCCACTCCTTCTTAAAGGATGCGTGGAGGATTCCTGTGGACCCCCGGAGCCACATGCAGAAACAGCTTCCGTTTCTGCCAACCGTCGGTGTGTGAACGCCCTCCCCGAAGGAATCTCCCATGTGGTGAGTGACATGGGCCTCTCAGTAACCGGTACCGCAAACAGAATACCAAGCCTCCTACAATCACAATCCAGCCAACCCATCTGCTCAACAACCTGGCTTTTCTCACAAACATGTATATAAGATTATAGCCTCCAATGGAGTTGCAACCTCCGAAACATTTTGATTTCCTTCCAACATCTTCCAACATCACGAAGTCGACTGACGGTCAAGACGGTCAAGATCTAAGGAACTCCCCCCGAAATCCGTGAAATCTCGTGAAATCGGCGCGACTTCTCCCTTCTCTCCGTCGTCCTCTACCTCTGGTGTGCACTCGGTGCGTCCGAAAGGAACTACCACCGGTGGACGAACGCCCGGTCTCGACCGCCCCGTCCGTCCCGTCGGGACCCGGGATCCACTGCGCAACTTCGTCGAGCCCGTCGAGGTGCTCGTGCGGCCACGCTCGTTCTGGCCGGACGCCACGCGGACCACGACCAAACAGGGAGACACGGATCGTATTCATTTTTTTGGGGGGGGACTCGCATTTTGTTGGAGAAGATATTGCCATTGGGCTTTCAATTTTGGGAGTCGTTCCGTGGTGTCATGGAAGCTTTCCCACCCACCCACCAACACTCCCGGTCGGGGGAAGGTGGTCGCTCGGGCCGTTCGGCTCGGTTGGGGTGCGCCGTTGGACACTCCCAGCTGCTGGAACGCAGGCAGTGGACAGACCTCCATACCCTTCGGAACATTTACAGAACACTGGGCACTACTTTGTTCTTTTGTGAACATCTTAACTGTTGTTATTTCACAATATCAAACAACCCCCAGGCACACACCAGGCCAAACAAACTCAAATCATGTCCCTTTTGGGTGCCTTTTCATCCATGGGTTTTCATGGTCACGTTTCACACAGTTCGACACGTTTTGTTTTTTGCACCGCCTCCACCGGTGGATCGCTCTCTAAGCGCTCCAGTCGTTGTTCCAGCTGAGCCTTGGCGGACGCCGTGACAGGTGACAGGTGCTGTTGCTTGGTGACAGGTGAGACAGGACAAAGCAGATCGAACAAACGAACTTGGAACTTTGGCCACACAAGTGGAAAAGTAGAAGAAAGAGAAACACAAATCTACACAACAATTGACCCAGTGAACGGGTTTTGTGTGGGTTGGAGAACATGCACGATGGGTTTGTCCCCTGATTGCAGGCTTTATTCAGAAAGAAAAGACGTGAACATCCTCAGAGCTCCGAAGTTTTGCCAAATCGATTCAGCTAAGTTCTCAATTTTGCCAAACAACAGCATTGACCCTGGGAATTTGAATGTGTTGGACTTTGATCGTCCTCTTGCCACACCTTTTCGCTCACATTATCACATCACATTCGAATGTCATTGGAATTCAGAACACCTCGAGACCAGCAGCCGGTTCAGATAGCCATTTGGCTCCACATCTTTCCTTCATATAAGTGTCGACCTCTCCCAACCCGACCAAAAGACTCCCAAGACCATTTGGCGACCTCCGTCCAAGGGGCGATTTCTTTCGAGGTCTCCGCCCTCAACGGCATGTTGGGAAGCCCGTCCTTCCTCGGGTCGCCCATGCGTCGCACATGGACGCTCCGTTGACGATGCTCATACCGACGACTGGAAGACCTCACAGAGGTAAGCACACCCTTCCATATGAGGGTCCAGGGTCGCGTCTGGCAAGATGTTTTAAGTCGTTTTCCATCTTTATCCTTTTAAAGGTTCTAAGGGTTTTGTGGACAATCTCGTCCGAGTTACGATCTCAACTTTGAAACCTTTTAGGCCCAGAAGCAAAGGCTTAGAATCCTTTTTCGAACAAAAGCGCAGGATTCATCTCACCTGGGGGAAAGTACTTTGTAGAATACTTTAGGGGCGATGTCGTCGCGCAGCAAGAATTAGGGCCCGATCCCAATCTGTTCCAACCAAGGCACACAAAGGCTTCATCCCACCTGGCAATTCGAGTCAAAGTGGGAGTAGATGACACAGAGGAGTCTTCTCTTCTTCCATTTTTGGGAGGATCCAAAGAAACCAAACGAAACCGAACGAAACACATTTAGCCACCTCAAAATTTGGTCTGAGTGAATGAACAAGTTGAAACGATCATTCTTCTTGATGCTTTTTGGGGAGTCCCTTGGCAAGTGAGGATTCCAAACCTTCCTTTTTTGCTTTGATGGCCTTACCTCCCCTCTCGCTCGCACACGGAGTAGGCGGTATGCGTGCCAAAGACCCACCCGGGTGCTCTTTTTTTGGGCCTCCGATCCCATCCCCCAAAACGAACACATGCTGCTCCTCGAACCGCGCAACCCCAGACATGACCCCCCTTTGCCCTCTGTTTTGACAGGAAGTTGGACCCTATTCTTGGGGTGCTTGGTGGTTCCAAGATAGAGGTCACTCCAGGTTCTTCTACTCGTCCAACGAATGCCTTCACCACTGCGATGGTCCATCGTAACGTCCGCTCGACATGGATGGCGCTCGGAGGTAACAAGATCACTCACACCAAAGTGGGAGACTTCAGCAAAGCAAGTGGGTGCAACTGAAGACATCCTGATATATATGATATGTATATATATAATATGTATAGGTATCCAATATATTCCAATATTGCTACATAGTGTTATATAGTTGTTCCCCCCAAAGGGCAACATTGCAACTGAGTACTTTTGGTGAAAAGAAAGGCTCACCTGCTGCCAGGCGGCCCTTTTGTTTCGCAAAGGGCAAAAAGTAAATGGGTGATCTTACAGGGGGTTGTTGTTCTGTTCTTGCAGCAGAAACATGTCAATACCCCCTCCTCAATGAAGCCAGTAAGTTGCCGAGCTGCTCCAGGGTGTCATACATCAAGGTCAGGTCAGTCTTGGCGTCCATGCAGTGCAACGTCCGCGAGGACTGCCGAAAGCGTTCCTCAACAGGCGCGTGTGCATGCGTGTGCGTGCAGAACAGATGCAACTGGACCTATCGTGGTTCTACACCGTTGGGGCCCTGACTTCACAAGAAGGGACACGAAGAAACGAAGGGAAATTCTTTCACCTAGAAACCAATTGATTTTTTTCGCTGTCATTCCGTTCACTCCCCCTCGGTTCGGCCTTCAGGGTTCTTCAACGACCTCTCCAATGGCTGCACTGACTTCGCAACAGGTGGGTCGTGCAGGTTCTTGAAGCTGTTGGTCTCAGAACCTGTTGCGTTTAGGGTTAAAAAGCCCATTGAAGTCCCATTTTCCTAGTAGACACGGCCCCTGAAAATCTCTGTGGCTTTGGTGAACAACGGCACGTTCGAACATCCATTTTCCTCCGCTCGGTCGGTCCTTCCGCCATTCTCCCGCTGGGCAGCCGGTTGATTTCAACAGCGAACGAGTGAACTCTCGAACGCTTAGCGACGGGTCCTTTCTTGAAACTCTCTTGGTGGTGGTCCTCACGACTGCAGGGAAATACAAACAACCATCGACTGGTGTAGGAAGATTTGGCACAACTACCCTCCTCTTTGAGAGTGTCAAACTCTCTGTCGGGGTTGGGGAACTCCCTGTAGCTCCTTGGCTTCCGGAATTTCATGTAAAACATGGATACCTTCATCGCTCCCTCCTGAGCAACAGCTAGATAAAAGAAGATGTTTTGGTAAAAGGAACCGCCGTTCACGTTTTCACACCTGGCGAAGCGCGTGTCGTTCCATGTCACCGACGGTTCTTCACGGCGCCAAGGCACGACGATGGGCTTCCGCTTGTGCCTGGATCGAAAAAGATGCTGGCAATCCAACAAGGGTCACTGAAACTGTGGACATCTCTTGTTTCATCTTTCTCTCTGTCCCTTTCTGAAACCTCGTGATGGTATCTGATCGTACCTCTGTCACCAAAGCCAGGTAAGTCTTTCCGCCCGATTTCGGGATCCACAGACCGAACGAGTCCGGGACGGTGAGCAGGGAGACGTCGCCTGGGTAGCTCTTCCACCGCCGTGCTGGAACGCTCCCGTGCAGCCATGCCACCGGGAGCGAGATAGACGTGCCAGTGCTTTAAGAAGAGGGTGGCGGTGAAAAGACATTGGCATCTGGTTCAGTTTGAACAAATGGTGTGATGGATGGTGTTGTTTTGGCCAGATTCCGTCTGATGTCATGATCAGCGGACGTGGTGTGCCGTGAAAAGGGTGTAGATTTAGAGAGAACTGCTATGTTGCAACCCTGTGCTTTTGAACGCACCATGCTAGAGGAAAGAACGATTATGGATGTGATGCGCAGGAAACCATCATAAGCTTTCGATTGATATTTAATTCATTTTGATTCCTGGAACCCTCCCGCCATGATTTCCGGATCCTTGCGACAAGTCTTCACGGTGCATGTAAACAGTTTCCCAAACAACAGGCTTTGGTCGTCTGAGCCACTTGTCGCTGCCCCGTGGTGCGGTGCGGCCGTCGTCGCGCTCCATCCTGAAAGACCCCGAATGGCCAAGACTTCACCGTTCTCGCGCTCGGAAGAAGGTGGGTATAATGGTCTTCGAACAGTTGTGAACATGCCCAGAAGTTCGCTTTGGGGTCCTCTTTTCTGGTCTTATTTTACAGAATCCCAAGACCCAGGTGAAATGGTGAGGGGAAGGGCCGGGAACGGCAGCCCAATACATCTCTTGGGTTCCCAATACAATTCCCTGCGGCCGATTGCGCCCCGCCCTACAGACCACTGCAAGCCGACTGCGCCCAAGGAAAACACTGCCCACCAGGGCATTGCATCACGATGCTCCAGCAATCTTCTTGCATGGGTACGTAGATTCCTTCGAGAGACACTCCCTGATTTCATCATGGTTATGTGGAGTGAACACCACATCCACCATGATTCTTCCATGGAGGGGACGTTGATCACACACAGAGCTCCACGCAGAAATCTCCAACCAGATCCCCCCTCGTCGGCTCCGCTGATCGCCCCTCCGATCGACACGTCCGTCCTGATCGACATGTCGTCCCCCTCAGGGTCCATCCTTTCCCGGGAGAGCGAGAACACCAAGCGGGAAGTGAGAACACCAACCCCCCTGAGACCCGACTCAGCTTCACTGGATGTGCGAAGGGTGATTTGCCCAAAGACCCGAAGGCCACCGAGGAACATCCAGTTGCTATCCATGTTCGAATCGACGCTTCCGGCATCGACGTATACGCGAACTGTGAGGGACCCGAAGTTCTCCTCTGTGGACCCGGGGTCGTTCCTTTCGTGGTCCGAAGTTTTTGTTCGTGTCCAGCATCTTCGTGCAGATCTGGTGTCGCAGGAGGGATCTCGTCGTTGAGTCCAGTCATAAGGACTCAACGACGAGTGGACTCAGGTCCAGTCCAGTCGTTGGAGATCTATTTTTCAGTCTCTGAGCATGTTTTCTTCGTTCACCCTCCAATTTCGTCGCAGCCAGGCCAGTCTGCCCCATTTTTTGGAGCCCTGGTTTTAAAGACACTTCTTGGAGCTGGAGCCACTTCAATTCCGCGGCGGCACCTTGGGTGGGTTGGTGTTTCAGCAAAGGCTTCCTCATGAAGGGGAACGGGGAACTGATATCCTTCCAACATCGCGGATTTTGGTCCAGCGATTTTGGGTCCAATCTTACAGTGAACCTTTCAACATCAGACTTTCGTCCGACGTCGAAGATCTGTCCAGCTCGAAGCGTTCAGTGGCTCATCGTTCAGCATGGGGTGAGTTTCACCCCAGGTTCCGGGAGGTTCCGGGAGCACTCCCAACGCATCCGTTGGAAGATGGCCCCCACGCGGCGTGACATCGTTTGGGCGCTATGGATCAAGCAATGCAGTGTCCCTATTCCTTTGTTCAACAGAAAAAGGACGAGGAGATCTGACAAATCTCTGGGTCGGAATCCTGGGTCCGCCACCGATCTATCCAGAGAGGACCCACCCTCCACCGACTCCTCTCCCCTTTTTCGCCGGTGCTCGCACTTCAAGACAACCAGCCGGTGAAACCCACGCAGGACGGCGCGCCGGAGCTGAACCCGCAGCTCCACGCTCTTTGGTCCTTCGTGGAGGGCAACGAACATCTGCGTGTTCGGTGCTTCGAAGCTTTGAACAGAACGAAAAAGCCTCCAATTGTCTGGATGAATCCGCATTGGCACGTCTCTCCCGCACCACTTGGTTCTGAACTTTTCGTGGCTCTAGTGCGACATCTTGTGTTCCATTCTGTTGGGGGCCTGATTGTGAGCTTCAAGATTTCACGAAGAAGACACATCAAAACCTTTCTTTTTTGCTTCACTAAACACCCACCCCACCGGCTTTCTTCCGGTCGTGGCCTCCCTCATCCGGCGCACGAAAGATCTACCTGCGCACCCTCAAGCAGCCTCGCTCTCCTGTGACGAAAGGCAGGTGAGACATGGGGCGAACATCCACTACGGCCCGAGCCAAAATGAAAGAACTCTTCTGACTGGTATACCCCACGAAGGACATGGGTGAAAGTGAAAGCTCGATCCGAATCGAGCTGAACAACGAAACTCGATTCACCTCACCTTCACCTCCTTTTTCCCTCCTTTCGTCGCACCAGCTTGTGGGAAGCTTTCTTTTGGTCTCTTTCAGTTTGTTTGGGGACACGGACGCTCGAACCCAACGCTAAGAACCGATCACCCAAGACTTGAGTCCGGTCCGAGCGTCATCGCCGGATCCGATGACGTCATCGTCTCTCCAAACAGAGCGTCAAAACGCCCGACTGCTGTGCTGTTCAGCAGGTTACAAAACGGGTCGTTCGTGCTCTTCGGTTGATGACTTTCCAGCAGCCGGGTCGTTGTCTTTCAGGGATCCCCAATGCCAGAAGATATTGCGAAGAGAATGGACCAATAAGTCGATCATCATGCCATCAGCCAATTCTAAATCCATCTGAATCTACAGCAAGGACTTAGAGACTCAGCAGTTTCTTCTCAAAGCACATGACTCGGATACGCTCCCTTCAAGAACCACTTCATGTGAACTACTTCTTCTCTCCCAGATTCCCTCAGTGGTTTTACCTCTCTTCGGGTCGCTCCGGAGCGGTGACCACGAGGAGGGCGAGGCGATGGCAGGGCACGTGCTTGCCGAAGCGTTGCTTCACCCACTTCCGCACCTGCGAACCGCCGGCCCGCTGTCCCACTTGTTCACCCCATTGTTTTCTTGGAGGCTCGAAGGTTCCTCGTATTGGCAGGACTGTTCATCAACGATCTAAGTCCACTCTTGAGCCCTTCCAGTTCCGGTCGAAACGAGAAAACGACGCCTGAAGGTTCTGTAGGTGTGTGACGCCGTCCAGTTCACCCCATTTCAGCCCTTTGCCATTGCAAACGGTGATGGGATCAAGATGGAAGACATCAGTGACATAGGTGAAACCAAAAAGTCGACAAGAACTTCAACCAAAAGTCCCAAAGTCAAGGCCACCAACAACCACCACCTCTTCCAAGCCCGCTTTGGTCTTCCCCTCTCCCAGAGTCCTCAGTCCGAGTCCACACACGCGAAGTCGGTGGACCCCCCGCCCCTCGCCCCGCGCGCGAAGCACCAGAAACGCGACGAAACGGGGTGCTCCTGGCCTTACGAACGGAACCAGGACGCTACGAAGGTAACAAAGGGTTTTCTCGCTTCGTTCGGAGCGATCGGACGCTACTAGGCTCCTGGCCTTACTACTGGGAAGAAGAAGCTACTAGGGACTTCTGGCATCGCCACGTTCGGAGCGATCGGGTCGCGTCCCATTGCCGAGCCAAACCGATGGGCGTTCGGCCATGGCGTCTCGGGTCGTCCTCGGCGCCTCGGCGTCTTCCATGGCGCTGGGCATCGGGGCTTGTGCCAAAAGCACCGGGTGGACTTGGTAGTGCAAAGGCCTGAAGGTCGGACAACCACACGCTTTCCGACAGAAGGATGGTTGAGGGTTGATGGATGGTGGAGGGGTTCGGGTTGACGTATCTATTTGTGATTGGTGTTCAAGGTTCGGCTGGAGTCTTTTTCAGGATGGGAGTTAATGGCGAGGTGGACGACAAGGAACGCATCTTCGTCACATATTTTGGCTGAACAAGGACTGATAGGAGAGAACACCCTATAAGTCCCATTGACCAAATCAAGCACCTTCATCGTAGATGGTGATTTCTTTTTGTCGGCGTGATTCGTTATTTTTGGGCGAAGGAGAACATCTCTAGGACCAGCTAAAGATCTACGCCATATACGCCAAGAAACACACCTATTTTTTTGGGGGGGCCAAGAAACAGGGCAGGATGTGCGCCGGCTCCGTCTTCGCATCGAAACAACCATAAGCCTTTGCCGCCCATTCCGTATGGGCGAAGACATACACCGCATGTGTTGGATGGTGGGATGGACCTTTGACGCTGCGTGTCCATAAGGACCACGCAGTCGACCAGGTCCTTTTCTTGGGCGATTTGGGGAGGCTCATTGGGGATGACCTCCATGAACCAGGCTTTTTTCCGGCCTGAACTCCACCTTCCAATTCGCCCAACACAACACGTTTGACCAACATCCGTTTGCTTCATCGAGGTCGAGAGCACAGCGCTTTCTGGGCAACCCTGCAAACCCAACAAGCTCGAGGTCTCTGTGGGATCACCTCGAACGAGGTGGGCTCGCGCACCGAAGGAACACGGCGGTTTTCCCGGTCGTGAACACCACGCGATGTGTTGGGGTGGGATGTGGTGAGACCTTCGGTTTGGCTCGGTCGATGTCGGGCGTTTTCAAAACGTGATAAAAACGAAGAGCGGCATCTGGAACTGACCATCACGTTCTTGTGGAGGGTGGTTGTTCCTGTTGTTTGTCGTGGAAAAACCATCAGAACCACCCTGCAGGAGATATGATTATGATTGATTATGTCTAGTAGGGTCTTGTAGTTATTATCGCAGCCTTCTGAACGACACGGGCTCTTGAAGATTGAATTCAAAGCAGTATCCCAATATCCTTGCAGAGAGCAGTGCCCCCAAACTCTGGCAGGTGGTTGATTTGGGCTTACATGTTCCCTTGTACAACTGTATCAACCTTGTCACTTTCGTGTCAATCATAGTTGCAAACAAACATCATTGGATAATATTGGGTACACCATGGTACACCCAACCACCCACTGATGAAAGCAACGCTAGAGCAAGGCACACTTGCGGACCGTCGAGATTTTGGAGGCCCAATCCGGGCCAATTTTCCCTCTGCCCGGAAAGATCGGGCCTTTCAATTGACCAATGTGATCTATACACCTACCTCACACATTGGCCGCTCCCTTGGCCCTCTTTTTGCTCACAAAGAACACTTCACCAACCAAATCGGACCACTCGAATCAACAATCCTTGGCATCGGCCCATGAAACATAACATTTGGCAATGTCGAATCCTATAATTGGTTGAGTGGGAGGGACAAGTAAAAAAACTATTTGGCAAGGATTTTTCCGGGTTGTTTCCCAACTTGGCTTTCTATTGTTCAGCTAGTGCTGCTCTTTCAGACCCTTGCTTAACCTCTTCTGAGGTTTGACTTGGTTCCTGGAGAAATAACACCAAACAATTATAGGACCGGACGACACCACATGTTAACAACTTCACCAGACACTGGGGCGGACAATTGGTGGTTGGTGGTTGGTGGTGGTTGGTTGGTGTGGGTGGTTGGTTCGTGGTTGGTGGTGCTTGGTTGTGGCTGGTGGTTGGTGGCTGGCTGGCTGGCTGGCTGGCTGGCTGTTGGTTGGTTGGTTGGTTGGTTGGTTGGTTGGTTGGGTGGGTGGGTGGTTGGGTGGTGGGTGGTTGGTGGTGGTTGGCGGTGGTTGCTTGCTGGTTGGTGGCTGGTGGTTGGTGGTTGGTTGGTGGTTGGAGTTTGGTGGTTGGTGGTGGTGGTGCCAGGGCGTACATCCGACCCTTTGGAGAGCACCAAGAGCTGCACCTGCCACGAAAAATCACACCGGCAGAGAGGCGGCGACACACGGACGCCAGGGCGTACATCCGACCCCGTGGAGAGCACCAAGTGCTGCGCTCTGGAGAAGATGTTGTTGGCACACAACAACTCTGAGAAAATGAGAGTTGAGTCTTTCTTTGCCTCCAAAAGAGCTGGTTGCACACACCAGACATAGTTCGGTACATCGTTCCCAACGCATACCGCCTTGCAAAGTAGAAACATCCTCATGTTGTAGAAGGGAATGTTTGATCTAGTGCATATCTTTAAAGTCAAACATTGAAGGTGAATCTCTACATCCTTGGACGTGAAATCAGTACAAATCAAGAGGCTAGGTGTAGACGTGCATGTATGGGAGGGTTCCCAAACACGATATCCTCAGGCAGTTTGCGCTGTCAACCTTACGAGTTGACGAAGTCCAACACATTGATAATTCCTTTGAATCGTCGTGTGCACTTGGACTTCGGAAAGAAGCTCTCTGATTCTCTGACACCCTTTTGCAACAAAGGGTGCAACGATCGTCAAAGTGTAATCTGCGTCTTTGCTGGGATTTCATATTTTTTGTTGCCGACGCGATAGTCAAACGTCTGATTCTGGCAATGCAAAGCGGCCAAACGTGCGTTGTCAACCCATAGGCAGCTTCATTGTATTCCTTTCAAATGACAGTGACTACTCTGGAAGAAATGCGTAACTCCAGTGAAATTCCAAGGCAAAGAAGAGAAACATTCGTTTTGCTTCCTTTCGATTTGTCCAAGGGGGGTTGGACACCTCCAGATCCTCTGCAAGGTAGAAAGCCCCACTCCATACAAGCTTGTTTGCGTGTGCTCTGGTTGAGTCGACAGCTGTGCTCTTCAAAAGTTGTTCATCTGCTGCTTCTTTACAGTTGGATTGCAAATCTTTCTTTGGTTAGTTAGGCGTATCGTGACTTCAATCGGGCTTCATGGCTTCTGACTGGCAGTTTGTCCACTCGGAGGAACCAGAAAACAGCGAACGCACATCTCTTGTCACCATCTGAAAGCATTGACATTGCTCGTGCAAAGACTTCGGAGAAAAGACAAAGAAATGTCATAAGAAATCGAATCTGAACCTTGCAAGCGCATTTTCTCAGAGCCACATGGAGCGATCTGAAGTCCAAAGTACACATTCATATACATGCATTTCGCATTCTCAGCTTCGAGTCGACGTTGGACTTTTTTCTTTGACCAATGCTGCCACGCAAATGACACCGGCAGAGCGGCGGCGACCCACGGACGCCAGGGCGTACATCCGACCTCTTGGAGAGCACCAAGTGCTGCACCGGCAGAGCGGTGGTAGTCGGTGGTTGGTGGTTGGTGGTTGGTGGTGGTTGGTGTTTGGCGGTTGGTTGTTGGTGGTTGGTTGTTGTTGGTTGGTGGTTGGTGGTGGTTGGTGGTGGTTGGTTGGTGGTTGGTGGTTGGTGGTGGTTGGTTGGTGCTTGGTAAGTTGGTGGTTGGTAGTTGGTGGTGGTTGGTTGGTTGGTTGGTTGGTTGGTTGGCTGGTTGGTTGGTTGGTTGGGTGGGTGGGTGGGTGGTTGGTGGTGGTTGGTGGTGGTTGCTTGCTGGTTGGTGGTTGGTGGTTGGTGCCGGGAGAAAGAGACGAGGAGGAGGAGGAGGAGGAGGAGGAGGAGCGGATACAGCACTAAAAACAAAACCCTCAATGTGGGGAACAAAAACCCCACATATATATATATATATATTGTTTGGAGGGTGGGAAATGCGCAAACTCGGAGCCCTGCAAAAATACATCAAGTTAGTTTTCTGCAGTGCTAATCTTTAAGATCTTTGCTTAAACTCTTCTGGTCCCGGAGCTCTGACCTTAAATCACTTCGAGTGGTGCTTTCGGAGGTGAGGAGAGGCACCCAGTGCTCCAGCGTTTGCTAAAGCACCCGTTGACCGCCTCGTCGGCTGTTGCGGCCGGCCTTCTCGCACATTTTCTGCCGCGTCTTCTGTGGGCAAGCCGCCAGCCACTGCTCGTCGTCCACAGACAGGTCGCCGTACTCCGGGTCATCAAAGTCGCTGCCCGGCACAGTGCTGACATACACCGTGGTCGTGCCAGCAGGATTGCTTGCGCCGCTGCAAGACTCCTCCTCATCGCTGCTGTGCAGGGCAGCTTCGAGCTCCAGCGGACCCTTCTCCGTCTCCATGCTCTTCTCCAGCTTGGTGGGTCGCAGTTCTTCTTCACTCTTCTTCTCTGTGGTCGCGGCCATCGAGTCACCGCTGGCCCCTGTAACGAAAGCACGAAGGGGTGCACCGACCTTGTTCAAAACCACTTGGTAGAACTCATCAAGATCATTGTTCCCAACAAACTTTCAACTTCGATGCGCAGATTCGTGGCAGGCGCAGCGCTTCGTGAACCTGGAAGGGCAGATTTGGTGGCAGGCGAATTGCTTTTGTGAACCTCGAGGTGCAGATTTCGTTGCAGCCGCAGCTCATGTGTGTGCTCTTGTATATGTGCTCCGTGTGTGCTGTCCTACGCGTGCTCTTACATGTGTGTGCTCTGGGCCTCCAAACCTCTAGATCTCTAAACCTTGACAAATCTAGGTTTCTAGGCAGCCTCTGGAGCTTTGGAGAAGCCGGACAGAATGGCTACTAAGGAATGAGAACGCTGGGAAGTGCTAGGAGTTGCCAGAAGGCGGACATAGCAGCACTGGGAGACAAATAAATGTGTAGGATTGCTACTTAGGAGGTAAGCCAGAAAACAGACGCAGTAGCCCAGACTCAGAGACAAATGCACAGAATTGCTAGCAAGGAATTCACGCTGATGGTTTCCAACGTGTTAAAATGTTGTAAAAGTATCCCGACACGACCCTGCCTGTTCGGAACATTGTGCCTTCCGTCCATTGCTGAAGGGTCGTCGATGCCTTCTCCTCCAAATATTCAACCTGGTCCGACTGGCATACTGTCTGTAGCACGCTTTGTGACCAAGCAGGAAACACAGTTTTCCAAAAGAAGCCTGGCCAGGGAAGGTGTGCCCGTTTCAGTTCGAAGTAGGTTGTCGGACATGGCCATCAGGCATATTGGGCATGCTTCTTCGTCTGCCGTAGCTGGTGGTGCTTGTTGGCAGGCCTGGCGCAAGTGAGGTGGTGTGTGCTGGACTGGCTGCGGCTGTGGTTCCTGTTTGTGGAAAAGTGTCGGCCATGCTGGTGGGAACCCTCGGCGTGATGTCTTCGATGCCGTCGTGGCTGGGGGTGGCCGAGGTTAGATCGATTGTGGGGGACTGCCCCGCCATGAGAGGGACCAGGTACAAACACGCCAAACACACGACACGAAAGGAAGTCCAAGGCAGATACAAAAGTCCACAGCCGGGTTTCAATCGTGAAGCGGGGTGCCCGTTCCCACTCGGTTTCTTTTTTCGAATATTTTTTTTTGGGGTGTTTGGGGTGTGTGTATGGGCGGGGCCGGCCCCCCAGTAACCAGGGGAGAAATGTATTAGTACAAGCCGGTCTGCTTGGGATCCATTTAGACACGGCTTTTTTTATTCTGGCCAGCCTCCAGATGTGCCGATGGCGCCACTGTTTTTTAGGTGGTTTCAGGCTCCACCGGAGAGGCCGGTTGTGTTCAGACACAAAGAGTGGTGGTTCGAAACCTAAACGCCTGTTGTTGATGTCACCCTGTTCGTCCCATAAGGCACTATGCATGGCGAGCTGCTACAACACTGGAGTGGCGGCAATGGAAGTGGACGTTGTTACTTTCAACGTTTTATGTTGTTTGAAGACAAATAGCGAAAAGAAAAAAGACGTCTGTATGGAAGGTTCTTGGTGGTTTGACTCTCAAGTCACTGCACATCTTGAGCCAAAATGGTTTGAGCCAAAAGAGAATAATACACACAGACTGACCACGTTCCTCGTAGCATCTTATCATTTTAAACGACAAGAATACTTTGTCAGTTTGTTGCGAGCTATCAAGCGTCATCGAACAAATTCTCGCTCAATGACATGATCATGACCTAACCCGGTGCTAGCAGAAGTTGACGACTCTGCTGGCTGACCACGTGTTTGTGGTACCTTCTTTGCGAGTTACTTTCTTTGTCAAAATTCTCTTTGAGCGCTTTCAGTACTGAACCACTGGATGATCCACAGATGTGTCTGTAAAGCTCTAAACGTTTTTTCGTCGGTTGTTCTGCAACGGCAAGACAGACATCAAATATGTTGACAACTTGCTGGAAAGTGATCTTCGCAATCTTTCTGTTGTACCTGACCCATGCTGCTTCGGCATCCCTGTCTGCAGGTTTCCCAAGTTGTCTCAAAACCTTCTTGTCTGCAGAAATGAACAAACTTGGTGATACATTTCCTAATGCATCCAATAGTGCAAATGGTGCTCCAGGGAACATTGCCGCTAGACGAGCATTAAGATCAAGCGTCAACGGTTGAATGTCAGTCTCCAACAAATCTTTTTCATTTTCTGACATCTCCGTTCCGGTTGATGAAAGCACCATTCTCAGTTTCGCATGTGTTGCAAGCTGGTTTCCAAGCGTTCGGATCCAATGAGGTGTTTTTTGTAGATCCGTACGCAGTACCATTGGTTGCCAGGACCTGAGAAAAAACAAATGCAACGCTTCCAGTTTTTTGTGATCAGATTCCAGGCCATCGATCATTCCGTACTTCAAGCGTTTGTGAGTCCGATGCAGCATGCCAGTACTTGATTCACCTTTGTACCCACCGCAAGGCCATATGTAATCAGTAGCACCTCCACCACCCCACGATGTAGACACTGAATCAGCAAGCCAAACAGCTACTCCTGAGTGTTTGTGACAAATCCAACAGTGATAAAGACCTCTCACTGCCTCAGCAACTGCAGTTGCGTCTCGATCTTCCACGTGCTTCTGCACAACCGAAGGCTTGACCATTCAATGCAGCAGACGCAGCATTTGAAGTTGAGGCTCGAGAAACAGAGCGATAAACTGAACCAAATGCTGAAGACGGTAGTGCAGTTGGAACCCAAGGACGCGTGCCTTGATGTCACGCCACAAGTCCAATCTCTCTGTGCAGCCAACATTGCCAATCTCCGCATCGCCACAACCTTTGGTTCGAACTACGGACGCATGCCTTGATGTCAGGAGGACTGGCACAGGTTCCCGCCGTACCAGTACTTGGACACAACATCTGGACGGTGGAAGTTCCACGAGTAATCGCCTCCTGGCTGGCGACCAAGAGTGTGCTTCCTTCACATCGATGAAAACCAAGCAGGTGTCTCGTGATTGTGTGATTAGTTGGCCATTCAATCTGGAACTCGCTTTGTGAGAACAACATTCGAAGTGCTGCGATGGGTGGCATCGAAGCAGAGAAATCACTCCGTGCCTGGTTAACCTCTTTGGCCTGAGCAGATGCCGTATTGATTGACGGCGGCGCTGGCTTGACTGGTGGTGAGTTCTGGATCTGCGGAGGCGGAGATTTCCGGCACATTGGTTTGACTGGTGCCTGTTCCATCTTAACGTCTGGAATTTCAGGCTTTGGCTTCAATGGCACGGCTGGAACTGGTTCTGCCAGTAGTGCGGCAGTGTTTACCGGTGCGACAGGTGTAGCAGCACTGCAAAATCTTGCGAAGTTGGCTTCTGGGTTCTAGCAAGGCCTCTTTCAGGAAAAATGAGAGACAAACAAACAAAGGCGCTCCTGCCTCAGTCCAGCGCGTCCAAGCATCGACGGAAGATTTGCGTGGTTCAACTTCTGGCGATCGCAGTCTGCTGACTAAATGCCTTGATTGACCAGCCCAACTGTTGCCATGAAAGCTCATCCGCAAAATCAGCATCAGCAAGGCACAAAGACTTGGCATTCGGAGCATAGCAGCATGCAAAGTAGAGCTCTTGATATCTCTGGATCCCAAGACCTCTGGATCTCTAGACCTTCTGCTTCTAGACCTTGGACCTCTAGACCTCAAGGGCGACACTGTTGGGGGTCTCTTGCCGGCATACTCTTTTTCCTCCAAGTAGTTTACTGTTGGGGTTGTCTGTTAGGAAATGCGCTGGCCACACTGGCTGGCCGCGTCCCTGAACTCTGTGTTTGGGTCTTGTCCTCTGGTCCTCCTCTGGCCGCGCCCCTGAACGCTGGATCCGGAGCTTGTCCTTCCCTTGCTCTCCTCTTGAAAGACAACTCCAGAAAGTCTCCTTGTCCTCCTGCTGTCCCCTTCTTGCACTGGCCACAGTGTCAGGCCACGCCGGCGAGCCCTGTCTGGATGTCCTCCTCATGTTCTTCTATTTCAAGTGTGGCTGCCAGCATTTCTCCGGCCGTACTCCTCCCATCACTTTGTTGTGTTTCTCTTGTCCTCTCTTTCTCTTCTCCTCTTGTTCTCCGTTCTCGTCTTGGGGTGCTCCCCTCATGTTGTCCTGTTGTCCTATTGGAGTTGTCCGGTCACAGCTTGGCCTTCTTTTGTCCTCTTGGTGTGTTCATATTGTTTTCCTTCCCTCATCCTTTTGCCCTCTGTTGTCCTCCTCATGTCCTCCTTTGGTCTTTCTGTTGTCCAGCTATTTACGTTGCTGTCCAAAGCAGGGGCTGGGGCCGCGGCCCCACCACCACAACAACAATTCTTGCCGACTAAGTTGTTTGGGGTCTATGCTGGTCTAATCTCCACCTTCCCTGCCTGGTTTGCCATGTCGGTGTCCATGAACACCCTGCCCAAATATCATCAAACTTTACAGCTCAGGGGCTTTCGGGGAGTTTGGCAAGTTCACCCGCGACGAAAACCCATGAGCATGACAAGCAGGTCCTGAAACTGACGCGCGTGACAAATCAATCCATTTCCACCCATTTCCTTCCAAAGAAGCAGGTGACCAGGTGACTTCTTGGGGCGTGGGTGGAAGCCCAGGGTCGAACGGGTGCTATGCGGAGTCGTCCCACGGTCCCCACCGGTGATTCGCCCCAGTGGCGCTGCTGCAGCTCTTCCTCCGACGCCTCGAAGACGTGACCCGTCAGCCCGCAGCTGCCTCAGCGAGGCGAGGAGGCGAGGCTAAGGTCGTTGGGATCGACGGCGGAGGGTGGCGATTGAAGCATACAGAGGTAGCCAGTGACCTGAACTAGGACCCGTCACCAGGGGTACCTATAGGATAGTCTAGTTAGGCTTCTTCAACCTCTGCTGGATAACTATTCCACTTCGAGTGATGCTCCCCCCCCACACTCTGATTTGGGGGCGTCTAGGCAGGGCACGTGTTTTGACAGACTAGTCTGACTAGAGTCGACATGCGGACATGCGGATTGACACGTGTTCTGGCATCAAGTCTGGTTCGTGCTCGAGTGAGGGTCCGGGGGCGCCCACGTCGTTGAGGCGAGGAGGAGATGGCAGGATCCTCTTCTAAAATCTAAGACCCCTCACATGACAGGTGGGGAAAAAGACACACACACACACAACTGAGCAAATTCGGTGGAATCAGCGATTTTTTTGCTTGAAATTCCTTGAAGTAGCTAATGAAATTGAATACCTTCAAGAATCATAGCTTATATATCCCATACAACATTTATATATAGCTAGCATATAATACAGCAAACAATATGTTTTCGACCACGAACCATATTTTGCATAGCCCCAAAGATCCCTTTGTTGACGTCCCACCCCTTCGAACAACTCTGCAGTCCCAGTGGCTCTCTGGAAGTTCGCCTGCGGCCCGCAGCATCAAGTCCTGTGGCGTTGGAGCTTCCAAATGCGTGCTTTTCGGATGTGTTCTTGGGTGTGGATTCCATGGGATTCCTGGATTCTCCAATTCAGCCACAGGAAGAAACCACTGCAAGGTTGTGGACAAAGGAATTGCAGGTCACATGTTCCTTGCTTTGAGGAGGTTCTGTCTCCAAAAACCCTATGCATTGATTGAGCCCGTATTACCAGTAACAGTAGATGATGATGCTTTGTAAAGGCATTCTCTCTCAAATAGCGATAATTGCAGGCTGTTACAGGTAAGAAGGGACAGACCCAAAGCATTGGCTATCTTTTTGGCTTGCTGAAAGCCTCCAGCCAGGGCCTCAACCTCACTCAGGCCGCGTCAGGCCACCACCGCGAACGACGATCGTTGTCGCCACGCCCCCGGGGCTCCTGTGACGGCGCAGGGGTCTGCAATTCTTCCGCGCTCTCAGGAGGAACGCCTTGGGTGAACGAAGGCAGCCAGGTGTCCGAAACGAACGACGAAGGACGAAGGAAAAGCAGCTGAGACATGTAGCTGGAAGTGATGTAGGGCGATTGGGGCAGCGATAGAACCATGTATAGAACACGCGATAGAACAGGCTTGGATGGTCTAGTTTTTGGGGTCACCACAGAATTCGACTGGAAGGGGCTTAAGGTCCTTGTCTCAGGCTTGAAACCCACCAACTGCACGTCCGCACGTCACGCGACCTGGAAAATCCCGTCAAAAAGACGGTGGTCCATCCGGACATATCCGCGCGCGAGAGTCGGGCATGGCTGGGATGCCCTCTCTCTGTTGACACTCCCTATATAGCCGACGGGGCATCCCGTCGGAACGTTCGGTTCGGTTCGGTTCGGCGCGGTTCCGAATGCCCAGGGAGGTCAAACGAATGGGGCACCGCCACGGGTGGGTCCACACCCGCGATTTCTGAGACGTTGGCATGATGGGCCTGGGAGTCAAAGACTACCAGGACCCTCCTGTCGGGGTGCCCTGTCTGGAAGCCTATAGGTAGTGTGGGGTAGTCCAGCCAGGACACCCCGAAAACGGAGGGTCCAGGTATAAAAAGAATGGTCTAGGTGACCCGAAGTTCCGAATGTCCTTTACTTCAGTCGGTCAACATATCGTCAAACTGGACTTCGGATGGGCCTTGGATTGGGCGTTTGGCTTCCACCGTTGACCTTTGGACCGCTCCGTGAGTGAGTGAAAACCGCCCGTTCCCGGTCCCTCAAAACCTTGGTTCGACTCCAGACCCCTCCGTATGAGGGTCCTTCTTTTCACCCGTTTCAGATGCTTACCGGTGACCTGTCAATCTTGGTCCAAGTGGCGCCCTTTTGGCCTAACATGAAGCAAGCAGCCCCGCAACCGTTCGTGGCGGCTGACGCTAGTGTCCTCAAAAGCTGACAACCCCCAACCGCCTCAATGGCACCAAGTGACCGTTGTCTGAGCCATCTGGCAAGAGCAAAGGAGCCTGGCAGCTTGACCGGGCACCGGCCACGTCGTCGTTCGGGGCCAGTCCAACCCCCACGACAGGTCCGAGCCGGTCCGGACCCGAGTCGAACGCGACCCAACCGGTCGCCGGCCGACCAGTCGCCTTGCCCCGGGCGTTGAAGATCATCGGTGCAAAGATCTCGGGCGGCAACGCGGAGCCTGGGCGCGGTCCGAAAAAAACAGGGGTATGGTGGATGGGCCTGGACCAATGAGCAAAGTCCTGGGATCTTCATCGAACGAACAAGGTTTTTCACCCCTCAGGTGGAGCTCTTTAGCGAAGGATCTTCCCGAATGGTCGATCGGCGGTGAACGCTGATCCCCATCGGAACCTGTCTTCCGATTGAAGACCGGAATATATATGGGTTCCTTCAATAGACCGGAATCTTTCTACAAATTGACAGCTTCTCTCCCCAGTTCGCTGAGTTCACGTGGTTGAAACCGAGAGAAGCCCGCAACGCCGCCGAACGTTGCTCCAAGCAGCTGCTGAAGAAGCGCGACAAGCTCCACTCGTCCGGGAGCACCTAGACGCTCGACACGGCCCGTCCCAGTCGTCCAAAACCAGACGGAACATGGAAGATCTATCACCATCCTGGTTGGGATAGACCACGCAAGTTTGGACTGAGTCCAAATTCAATTGTTATCTTTTAACCAAAAAACCAATCATAATATATGCTATTTTCTTACCATGAGCCATGTTAGGGGCCATGCCACTCCGTAACCCCTAAAATGTGCAAAAGAAACATGCTCACAGCGGTTGCTGTCCGTTCTTCAAATTCAAAGGCAGCTTGAACCATATTGTATGTAGCTGACCTCTAACAGTCGGTACACAAGTGTCGACTATTTGAGGGAAAGGCCTGCAACTGAACCATCATCCTCATCATCCTCATCCTCATGAAATAGGACTACTCAAATTGGAAGGATGTTTAGGAGACGCCCAGCCCAGTCTTCCCACCTGTTGACTGTGCGGTGCATTTCCAACCTCCCGGACTGTCCGACGATGGAAAGGGCACCAGAGGTTCTCATCACCACCGAACTGTTCACTCGTCGGACCGAGTGATGGCAGGTTTTGCCCATTTTCATGGTTTCTGCCATGTGAAGTTTCCCCAAACAGTTTACTGTTGGGGGTTCTCAATTCTTTCTTAAGATGTGTCCGCCCTTTCTGTTCTTTTTTCTTCCCACATTTTTGGTGCTGAGACGGAGAATACATCGTGGACGTCTTCCACCTCGACCGAGAGAAAGCGCTGGGAGAGCTCCCGGTGCCGCCGGTGGCTCCCACACCGTTGCTCCACCACGTGCGCCAGTGCCCTTTGGGCCTCCATGGAGCTCGTCTGCGGTGTCCGCTGCAGCCAACCTGGTGGTTTCACCCAAACGCAATGCGCAGTCTGGACCCGTTCAGGAACGAGGCCGGACCCGAACCAAATCCGGCTTCGAGGGACTGGGGCAAGGGCTGTGAACACACGGAGCGTCTGCGGGGGGGTTCCCCGAACACCGGCCCACCTTCTTCGTCTTCCGCATGGCCGTCATCTTCGAAGACCAGCCTCGAGAGCTCTCGGAGTCTTTTGGTCGTTCAATGGTCTCTTTGGAATGAAGCTTAGTAAAGCCAATGCCCTGGTTGCATAGCAAAGCCCTGAAGAAGAGGAAGGAATTCTTTTGAATGACGTGAAAGAAGTATGCTCAGTAGCCCGAAACTCAAGAACCAGCTGATGAGCAACCCCAGCAATAGGCACCTGGCACCCGTGTGGTACTTTCTAATATGTGTTTTCCCCCTTGTGTTTGTTGAAGAACACTTCTTGGCCTGTCATAAAACTTTCTAGTCAACTGCTCGAATGGACAGTTGTGCCCAGTGCCAGGTGTGATGGCGTTCAGCCTTCCTTCCATCCACTTGTGCAAATGGCTCTCGGCATTTAAAACAATAATGCATCGCAGCTGTCCTCCAAAACCACATGAGCTCACACCCTCCGAACTCCAGCCTATAGACAGACTGTCAACCGAAAGAATTTCGATCAGAAACAGGGAAGTTCGGGTTGATTTGACCTCCTTTGCAACTCTGTGCGCACAATTTTTATATATACTGTTGTTTCGTCATACTGCTACATCGCAGCTTCAAGCCTCAAAGACTGTGGTTTCTACAAGTTTTCTTTTGACTGTTCCTGCTCAAACCTCTGAGCACAACCGAGCTCACCATACTCATACTCATACTGCTCCTTCCCTACGCTTTGCAACAAAAACACTGCTGGTTCAAAGCTCGTCCACCAAAAAGCGAGAGTTGATAGTCCGCCACTTTACCAGTGCTCCTTGTTCCCCCCGTTCGCTGGAGTCGACCTCTTTCTCTTCCATCCGGGCGGCGTGAAGCAGCTCCCGGAGCGGATGGAGGACGTCAAGGCGTCGGTGAAGAAGCGCTTGTAATCCTCGGCGACGGCGACGCGACGTGCATCGTGAGGACTCCAGCCGGAGATCGTGGTTGACCCAAAAACCCTATAGGTTGACCCTATACCATATGAGCCCGGTAGACCTGGAGAGATCGGAGATCCGCCGGTATACAACCGGTCGAGATGGAATTCTTGTTTGTTTCAGAAGTGGTCTCGCCAGCGTCGTATCTCCGTGTGTTTCCCCTCGATCGCTCTCTATCTCTTGCGTCGTATCTCCGTCTCTCCGACGCTTTGGTGCTTCCCGTTCGGTCCGGGGGTCCGAAGCCATTTGGGGCCCTTGGGGTTCTGGGAGCCACAGACGGTTGGCGTCTGTCGATGGATGCGTCACGGTTAGAAGAATGGAAGAGATAGACGCATGGAAGACACCAGAGAATGTCTTTTCTGCTTAAGGGTATGCTGGATATACTGGTGTTCTTCTGGTAGATAGAAGGGTGTACCATGGACGATTCCGTGGATTTTCTGCACGTCTCCGGTGTATTGAGAACAGCTCGCTTCCATGCCCTGCCCTCCCAAATCCGGGTCGGCGCTTCGAGGAGTCTCAAGTTTTCCATCAACGTTCCTACAGAGGTAGCCAGTGACCTGAACTAGGACCCGCTACAGGGGTACCTATAGGATAGTCTTTATAGGGTTTGTCAACCTCTGCCGGTTTGCGGTTCAATGCCTCTATCCAGAAGGTATCTGTGTGAAAAGCACATGCTTGGCAGCTCTGGGTCAGTATCACAAAAGCATGGCAAATACCACGATGACTATAGCTAGCCGCTACATACTCTTGGCGCATGCATTCTGCAAGCAGTTTCTTGGCAATTCACCAACAGCAACGTGGGACTTTGGTGCTTTGCGTCTCCCAGAAATGCTCGAACAAAATATACGGGACACTCCTCCACAGGACGGACTCCTTTGGTGAAAACAGCTCCGCTCCAGGTCCAATCCCTCTGATTCCTCGTTCTTCCGGCGGCAGAATTGGGTCCCCCAAAAAACCATCCCCAGACGCGACGACTGATGGGACTGCCAGTCCGGACTGCCGATCTGACCCCCCTGGCACCACCGTGAAACGAAGGCAGTCCGGCAGTCGACTCGTCGTGTCTGGTGACCACCCGAAACCGGTCGGAGGAACCCGCACCGATTCCCCCGGACGTCCTCTCTGCACCCCCGCACCCCGCGTCGCTTCGCGGCACGACCCGGAACGGCGGGCGTCCCGCTGGCGCCGCTGCTCCAAGGCCGCCAAGCGCAAAGAAACGCACTGTGCACTGGGCTCGGTCATGACGCCTGACTAGGGCACGACGCGTTCCAGGCCGTGCTATATCCTCGAGGCTAGTGCCCTTGGGTCTAGGTGTGGCATCAGCCCAAACCGGTGCCGTTCCTGGTGCCTTCGTGCCCCTGGACGATCGACCGTCCCAGCCGCTCGGGCACGCTCCAGCTCGGGGGAACGAAGCGTTGAAGCCGAAGAAGTCACCAGGTGTTTGCCAGAGCGCACTGAGACCAACCAGCCCGGCAAGAATCAGATAACCACCAAAATCACCAACCCCCTGCGCTTGGTTTGGGAGCCTCCTCATGTTTGGGACATAGTCTTTCTGCTTTTAATCCGAACACAGTCCGTGGATCTTGGAGATGGTGAAGTCTGAGCCTGATGTGCGAAGTGGGGATTGATCGAGCATTTCTTCCCACCATCCTGCACTTGAAGACCATGGCCCGCAAGAGAATATGCACATTTTTATGCCCTTTTTGCCATGGACGTGCCCCAAAAGTATCGCTTCCATGTCTCGTCAGTTCCAACACCCCTTTAACAAGACTTGTGAGGTCATGAGAGTCGAAAGATCTCCAGTGGTCAGATTTCCAAGCGCCAAACACAGAAGGTCACACCGTCCTTCATCAAATCGCTTCAAAACACCAGGGCCTGCTGCCAACAAGGCTTCCATGGCATGCTGCTTGGCGCCCTCTTCTGCCAAGACCAAGGGCACCAAGTTCCCTTTCAGCGCCTGCACGCTTCGATTCGGGGCGCTCATCCCCGCTGTCGAAGCAGGATGTCAGCGCTCGTAGTTCAGCATGTCAGCGGTTTTCAAATCACAAATCACAACCCCAGAATTTGCCACACCAAGAGCACACAGGATACCTCTCTAACACATGAAAACACTCCAGCTATGCCTCTCTTTTGATGCGGAAAAGCTATAACCACCTTGCCTGTGAATCTTTTTCTTTGCGAATCAGGCACCACCCTCCCGCACGCAGCCAGATTCCACGCCCCGCGGCTCGCCACGTCACCACGCGCCACGTCGCCACGGCCTCTCGCAGGCATTGGCTCAAGCGGGAGCTGTCGTCCGTGATGCGGAGCACGTTGGAGAAGCTCAGGCCCGTGGAGGTCATCGTCGAGCCTGGCGAAGCCGACGCATTGCCGCTCGAAATCGGTGGGCGGAAGAGTTCACGGCAGAGTTCACCTGAGGGAGGATGGGCAGCCCCAAACACCATGATTCCAACCGCCATTTGATGGTTCTGAACCAAACAACCCGTTCTATATAAGCTGAGGATTTGGCAGGTCAACCGAACTCTTTCAACGGTCGAACGGAAGGCTAAAGCTAAGGCAGCTTTGCTCCTTCGGTCTATTATTCCTTTTCAGCCACAGAGTGTTGACACCTTTTGACCCCCCACATCTTGAAGAACCACCAAAAAGAGGGTGCGACGCATCGCCTTTTCGTTCGTGTTCTGCCGTTGATATCCTCCAGATCAACACGTCGACTCTTTCATCCAAGCGCGTCGTGCGTCGTGCGGTCCCGGGACCAGCGGTCACTCGGTCACTTGGCGCAAACACACACGCGCGCAGCCGCTTTCTCGGATCCTTCCTTTTTTTTCTTCTGCGACGACAGGGAGGGTGCGCGAGGCTCGCGGTGCGTGGCCCTCAAAGGTTGCACGTCCAATTTGAAGTGCACCAAGAGTTGTGAAACCTGCGGCTTCACGTCGCTTCGGCTTGGGTGTCGCGTCCACGTGGGGGAGAGACCGTTGTCGGATGACATGGAGGGCACCGGAAAAAGGATCCAACATGTTCCAAAGCATCCGATGCAGACACCATCCATGCAGACACCAATGTATGGACGAGACTAAAAAGGAGGTTGACCATCCATACATGTACCGCCACCATTGTCTGACCCGGTGAACGGTCCCTCTTCCAGTGCCATGGAGTGCCATTGGGGTTCCAATCCCAAGCAAGACCACTTACCACAACGCCGCCTGTGTTAACACCAACACAGGAAGTCCTCCTCCTAGCTACAACATGGACCTAAACATCATACAACAACTCCTGGTGAAGGATATGCACCCAAACATGTTCCAGAATTTTCTGTTTGGATCTCAACACATCATCTCTCCAGCCATCAAAAAGATCTTCCCTGATCTTTTGAGATGCACATATCCCACATTGGTCCACAAAAGAATCATCGGGCCTGCATTCAAACCATCTAAGCACCTCGAAGTTCTGAATGTTTTTTCGTTCTGGTCATGCTGCAGTCAGAACATGGCACATTGGGAGGATGCTGTAACTTTTCGTAGAATTTGAGATAGCTTATGCCATGGGGTACTAGTTGGTCTCCAACCCAAGAACAAACCGACTTGCTCCATGAACTCCGCTATTTTGGGAAACTGACCTCCCACGAATCACGCATGCTTCCCATGTGGTGACGTCTCCTCACGATCACACTGTCGTGGATCCAGCAGCGTGCTTGTCTATCCGACAGGCTGCATCACCTATTTGACACCTCCCTTCGGGGGACTCCACGCCAGGATCCGCAGGCTTTAAACGGACGTGAGGACTCGAAGAGTGAGGACTCGCATCATCTCATCGGCAAACGAATAGTGTTCATAGAATAGAGGAGTGAACCAACGAAACGAAAAAACATAACACAAAGCTCCCAAATTGTTTCAAGAAGACTCTTCCAGTCTTGGAGCACTTCCAGCAACTCCCTATAGGCCATGCCCACCACCCGAGAACGCCCGTGTCCTGACAGTGATCCGAGCAATTCAGGGATCTGATTCCCACTTCTCGTATTTTGGATGGTTATACCCCTGGGAGTCCCAAACCATTCTTTTACATGGTCTAGGATACTATACTATACTATACTATACTTATTGATCCCAGACCCTGGTCCGTTGATGTTCGTGACAGATTTCGACCGTGCCTGGACTGCAAGATGTTTGATCTCTTGCCTTGTGACCTGTGCACGACGCGGACTTCAAAACGCGAACATCAGGAAGCAATGCTTGGGGCACTCGGATGTATTTTGTTGCACCCCAGGAAGGAGCCCCACCCACACATACGGGACTCTTTTGCATGGAAAAAAGTATATGGCGTTGATGTGAAGTGAAGGTGAGTAAGCCTCAAAGACTCATAGAGCAAGCCCCTCAGGACTCAGCGTTGAACACAATGTGGACTGTTTAGGGAGCATTTTCTGTTTCTGTGTCTTAGAGACTTCTGCAAAGACGGTCCATGTTTCAAGGGATTCTGGCTGCTCCACCGGTGTGAAAAGCAGGTTCTTAAGGCTGAAAAAACCTGAAAAACACCGGTCGATGCAAATGATGCCAACCACCAGACCCCCCCTGTCGCCCTCCAAAAGCGGCATAGACTTGATTGAAATCCAAGCAAGAGTCGTATCGCTTTGGATGGAGCCCATCGCTTCTGCCGAGTTGGATCCGTTTCCCCCCCTAAGGGTCAATCCGCCGTGTTCAGCGTCCCATCCCCCACAAAGGCTTCCGAAACCGAACGAAAAAACCGAACGTGCGAAGCGAAGCCAAGGCTGGTCAAACGATTCAAACATATTCAAACGACCATGCCAGGATGTGTTGGTGATGTGTTGGGGGACTTGATGTTGGATCACGGTGGATCTATAAAGTAATATGGGCTTGGTCAAAGGATATTCCAGGCAAACATCTGGCAGCAAATTTCCCCAGATCCAGCCAATGCGGCGGCACATCCACTTCTGGCAGAGAAAAACAAACAAGACAACGCGTCTTTTTTCGGCACATGGCTTTCGGGACACTTCCTGAAACGACACTTCACAATATTCACTCATATCTATCCAATCCCGATGGATTTGAGGGACCGGGAGGTCGCCGAGGACGTGTATCTGTTGGCGACCCACTGAACCGGTCGATGTGGGACCCGCTGAAGCGGTGTTCCGGGATCCTCTGCACCGGCGAAACGCCGGGTTTTGCCCGGATGGGGGACGGAGACGAGCGGTTGTGGGCCTTGTTCTCATAGCTCATCTTTGCAAGCTGAAGACTCTTCGCTGGCCCGTGCAACTGCATGCAACCTGTTCGGTCCGTCGGTGGAAGGTTGGAGCAGACTTGGAAATCCCAAGAAATAGCTTATACCAACCCACGTACAGTTTGTTTCCAAAAGTTTCCTTGTCAATTGCGACTTAAATCACTTGGACAATGATGTCTGTAGGGCACGTCGACTGTCCAATGGAGCCATAGAAAGTGTGTCGTGTGTTGTTGCTTCTTGGGTGAGCCGAGGTGAGTGAAACAAGAAACTCATCCAGATCCGGGTCTTCAGCAGTCACAAAGGGTGTCGAACGGTGCCCATGGTCCACTCACTGGATGGGACGAGCCAAACCACCGCAGAAGCGTGAATGTCTCTCGATCTTCTTCTAGCTTGGGGCTTTCTACAGCACCACACACAGAACGAAACAGCCTTGGGTGCCTCACTGCAAGAACACATCGTTTGGACAGCTTTCGAGAATTCCAACGGTTCCCTTTCTTCATATCGGGTCAACTCATCTCCTTGAAAGAAGCACGGACGGACCGTTTGTGTGGTCGAATTCGCCCTGTCTTGAAACCAGTGGCGAGTTGAGTGTGCGCCTACAAACCCGAAGGGCGTCAGAAAAACGCCTCCGCCGTTTGAGTAGGCTACTAGGAGGTAGGTAGCTAGTAGAAGAGGTAGCTAGTAGCTTAAGTAGCTACTACTTAGGACGCAGGAAAGCCCTCGCACGGGAAACTTAAGGTTGGAGGCTATCCCTATTAAGTTGGAGGCCATCGCTATTAGGTTGGAGGTCGTCGCTATTGGGTTGGAGGCCATCACTATTAGGTTGGAGGCCATTGCTTTTACGTTCGAGGCCATCGCCATTAGAGTGGAGGCCATCGCCATTAGAGTGGAGGCCATCGCTATTAGTTGAAGGCCATCGCTATTTGGTTGGAGGCTATCGCTATTAGGTTGGAGGTCATCGCTAGGTGTCGGCCCGAGCTCCTACCAGCAGGTACACCCGTGCAGGCCAAAGGCACGGGAGGGAATGTTTGACCCTGAGCCATGGATCGAAAGCGAGCCTGATGGTGGGACGATCACCATTTCAGGCAAAGCCTGGTTCTATGACCACCAAAGGTCCGCCTTTCATTGCACGTCGTTGATGAAAGGCCAACGGTTTCTACTAGCTGGAGTGAAGCTCACTGGAGATCGGTTCTCGGTCATTGCCGCCTCCAAAAGGACCCAAGACGGACTTCAAGTTCTGGAAGCACAACCTTCCTTGATCCAGATCCATGCCATGGCAGATAGCTCGACTGCAACAGAAGTCATTGACATCTGCTCTGGATATGCCATCATGACAGCTGGATATAAATACCTCAGTTGTCGGGTCCGTTGCCACGTGGAGATCAACCCGACCTATGCAGGATGGTTGAAGGCAAAGCAAGAGCCGGTCATCCAAGGTGACATCAGCAGCCCCCAGGTCTTGCAAG